TAATAAAAAAAAAAACTTAATTTAAACCATAAAAATTACCTAGATGTTGCATATAGTCCCGCACTATCTTTTACAACTGCACAAACTTTAATTTTCTCATTATTTAATTCTGTAAACATTTCTTTAGTTTTTTCCATTACTTCTATATGACTTTTTCTTTCAGAACTAATATTTGTTGCTTTCTATATATAAAGATGACCTTCAGATGTAAGAATTACTACACCTAACAAATGCTCATTTCTAACATTTGTCCAATTATCAAATGTAAGTATAACTCTAATTGAATCTTCTTGAAAAACTTTTATCATTGTATTATTAGATTCTTTAACTGCATCACTTAAAATATTACTCCCAAGTAAATGATGATCAGGAAGTTTTAAATGTGAATTTAAAAATTGAAAAAGTTCTACTACTTCAGGTTTATTAATCCAATGTAAAGTCCAACTACAAGAAAGTGATAATCTAAGAAGAAGGGTGTGAAATTTTTTCAAATCTGATCATGACAATGAACGTACAATATAATTATCTATTGTTCTATAAGAAGATGATCTAACAATTACTTTAGAACCTTGTGATATGGTTGATGTCATTTCGTAACAAAATGATTCTTTGAAAATATATAAATATTTTAAATATAAATATTTTAATAAAATATAGACAGACTTTTAAATACTACTTTTTCTTTTATTGATTTGTAGATTTGTAGAATTTGTAGAACTTATATTATTTTTTTATAATAAATTAAATATTTCTTCTCTTTTTTCAGGTGTTATTTCAAAAAAAAAAAATGAATACATTTTTTAAAATAAATAATAAGACGATTTTTTTTATTTTTTTTTCCTTCTGTCTTGCCTAAAGCTTTTACACATGATTTACAATAAACTTTATAATTGTTTTTGTTGATTTTTTCATTTGTTTTAATTATAAACTCTTCTATAATAACTGGTAAAGGTATAGTTAAAAATTTATATATCCACGGAATATTATTTTTTTAGACGTGTCTATATAACAATTAGCTAATTGACGTAAACAGTAGACATTGTCTCAAATTATCCGCAGAACATTATTTTTCTATTGGACATGTTCACATGACAATTAGCTGATTGAACAGATTTTTCAAATTTGAACAGTGGACATTGTTTGAAATTGTTTGTGTTCAAAAAAATCACAGACAGAGTGTCCGTGTACAATACTGGTCACAAGTAGTGATGTTTAGGAATCGATTATTTGTTATTAATGAGTAATGTGTAGGATATACAGATAAACTGTATGGTATAAATAGTGACTTGTATGATTTATTTGTGGCTTATATGGTTGATTAACTAATATCACGTAATATTTTTAACTGTGAGAATTTTATCTGAGTGATATATAAATGTGACGAATAATATTTTAGATCCAAAAAAATTCCAAGTTTTTAAAAAAAATAATAAAAATTGAATGTTGAGGTGGTTGAGGTTGTGATAATAAAATGTAACACCCCTAATTAATTTGTATGTGACACAAACTCTAACCCCTAATTTTGATATAAATAGATAATATAGGTGTTGGGTTTATATTTAGTACTGTTCAGCTTTTTAATATAAAAATACTTGTACTGTATAATTTTTTAACAAAAAAAGTTCATACAGTACAATTAGAT